TCCTGGCTCACCTTGTTACTCAAAGTGAGAGTCCAGAAGCAGCAGCATCCTTGCTGACTGGGAACCTGTTAAAAATGCATGATTTGGGGCCCACCTCAGATCTGCCAAATTAGAATATGCATTTTAACAAAATTCCCAGGTGATCCATTTGCAGGGTAAAGACAAGCAAGAGCCTATGGATCAGCCTCAGCTCTGAGAGGGTCCATTTTTCTCAGGCAGGAAATGGCTGCCCTCAGCCTTGCTCTGGAAAACTCCCTCCAGAAGGCCAGCTCTCCAGACCAAAAAGACCCAAGGCACCAAGGACTACAAATCCCATAATGTCATCACCACCGAAGGGAGGATGCTGGGAACCGAGGGTAGAGTCAAGCAGCCAGGCTTGGTGTAACCAGACATGTGGGCCTGGGTGGGGGGGGGTCCTTGGCTTTTTGCTGGCTTTCAGCGTGCTGTTGGGGTCCCAGCTCAGCGGAACTGGTAGGATACATTCACCAATTTATCTCCTTCTCCCCCCGAGTTACTCATTTCTTCATTTCCCCTTCTTTGTAAATAAGCCCTTTATTACCCTTTTCGTATATGCCCGCCGATGAGTCTCATTATAAGTCCCTTTTAAGTGCATGTCTGAGGACCCACAGTGAGGCCGCCCCATTTCACACTGGGGTTGCCTGTAACAGAACCACCATGGTCCATGCCTCTCCACAGTCTCCTTAGTTGCCTCTGAAGAGGTCCTGCTGACTTCTAAACATCAACCTGCCTAAGAACTCAGTGTTCACTCAGTCCCTTATCTTTTTTTGTTTTAAAGATTTATTTTATTTATTTATGCATAAAAGGTCCTCTGTTCTTCCATAGGCCAGAGGTGCAGGGGGTGAGAGGGTAGGCACCATGGTGGTTCTGTTACAGGCAGCCCCAATGTGCAATCAGTTGGCCTGACTGTGGGTCCTCACCCATGCACTTAAAATGGAAGGATTCACCAGAGACAGAGTGGGGAGCAAAACAGGTGGGTGTACTGAAATACACTGCTGAGGAGAGCAGCGGGGAGACAGGAGAGGTCTGCTGCGCCATGTGGGTAGTTCCCTGGCTGGGGATCAAACTCATGCTTCAGTGGCTGTTGATAGCTTCATTGTGCTGAGACTTAACCCCTTGCGCCACCAGGGAGGACCCCTTCTCTTCTTTAACTACACTCCCCAGGTGATCTCATCCACTCCTATGGCTTCACCACCACATCTGCTGATGACTCCCAAATTTACATCTCTACCTTCAACCACTCCTTGGGGCCCCGGATTTGTTTGTCCAAACATCACCTTGTTGGCTTCTTTGTTCTCAGTATATCTTAAAGCTTTATTGAGGTATAACTGGCATACAACAAACTACATATATTTAAAGTGCCCAAGTTGACCGATTCTGACAGGTGTATACATTTAGGAAACTATCCCATCAAAATAATGAACATGTGCATCAGCACCAAAAGTTTCCTCCTCAGGGCCCCTTAGTAATCCATCTCCTAGTTCAGTCCCAGGCAACCAATGGTCTGCCTTTTTTCACTAAAAATTAGTTTGCATTTTCTAAAATTGTACTTAAATGGAATCATACAGATTGTATTCTTTTTTGCCCAGCTTCTTTCAGTCATCATAATTATTTTGAGATTCACCTATGTTGTGGCATGAATTGCATCAGTAATTCATTGATTTTTTTTTTTTTTTTTAACTGAGTTGTATTCCATTAAGTGGCTACTCCAAACTTGGATTATGTCACAATGCTGATGGACATCTGAGTTGTTTTCAGTTTGGGACTCTTACCAAAAAAAGCTGTCATGAACATTAATGTACACATTTTTAATGTAGGCAAATGCTTTCATTTCTCTATAAGGTAAGCATCCAGGAATGAGAGGGCTAAGTAAGTCATATGTTAAGTGCATGCTTATCTTCTTAAGAAACTGCCAAGTTGTTTTACAAAGTGATTACTGGATTTCATATTCCCACCAGCAGTGTATCAGTGTTCCAGTTGCTCTACATCCTTGCCAATACTGCTTATGGTCAGTCTTTCAAACTTTAGCATTCTAGTGGGTTTCCGGTAATATCTTATGTTTTTAATTTGTATTTCCTTAATGATATTATGTTGAACATCTTAAGTTTGTCAACCATATATCTTACTTAGTAAAGTATCTGTTCAAATCTTGAAATGGTTTTTTAATTGAGCTATTTATTATTAACTTTTAAGAGCTTTTTATAGTCTAGATAAGTCTTTGATCAGCTAAATGTTTTGCAAATATTTTCTACTGGCCTGTGGCTGGCTTTTCATTTTTGTAGCAGTGTCTATCAACAAGCAAAGTTTACATTTTGATAGTCAAATTTATTTTTCTTTATGTTTCATTTTTTATGTTCTATTTAAGAAATACTTGCCAAATCTAAGATTACTAAAATTTTCTCCTTTGTATTATTCTGGAAAATTTCTATTTTTTACACAAACATTTAGAACTATGATCCATTTCAAGTTAATTTCAGTATAGTTTAAGGTTAAAGTTCATTATTTTGCATAGGGCTACACAATTTTAACAGCACATTTGTTGAAAAGATACCATTCCCCCTTTGAATTTCCTAGACAACTCTGTAGAAAAGGGTCTATTTCTGACTCTCTATTCTATTCTACTGATCTATATGTCCATCTCGATATCTTAATACCACCACACATCTTGTTCATCTGAGTTTTAAAATAACTATTGAAATCAGGATCCTACAACTTTATTATTTGTTTTGGCTATTCTAGGTCCTCTGCTCTTCCACAGAAATCTTAAAACCAGTCTGTTAATTTCTACAAAGAAGTCTGCTAAGATTTTGTTTGGAATTATACTTAATCTATAAATCAATTTGAATAGAACTGGCATCTTTACAATATTGAGTCTTACAATTCATGAACACAGTATTTCTCACCACTTACTGAAGCCTTACTTCATCTCTCTCAGTAATGTTTTATAGTTTTAGTGTACAGGTCTCTCACACATTTGGTCAAACTGATCCCTAAGTATTTCTTATTTGTGATCCAAATAAAAATTACACTTAAAGAAATTTTTTTATTTTAAATTTTTCATTGCTAGTATGCAGGAATACAATTGATGTTTATATATCAGCCTTTTATCCCGCATCCTTGCTATGCTCATTTATTAGTTCTAGTAGCTTTTTTTGTACCTTCCTTAGGAATTTACACATAAAAAAATCCCACAGTATGAGAATAAAGATAGTTTCCCTTCTTTCTTTACAATCCGAATGCCTTTTTTTTTTTTAAGATTTATTTATTTTTATACAAGAGCTGGGGTGCAGGCCAGAGGCGCGGGAAGCTGAGAGGATCACCAGAGACAGAGTGGGGAGCAGAACAGGCAGACAACTGAAATACACTGCTGAGGGGAACAGCGGGTGCGACAGGAGAGGTCTTCCATGCCATGTGGGCATCTCCTTGGCCAGCCAGGAATCAAACCCACACTGCAGAGGCTGTGGACAGCTTCACAGAGCTGGGCTCAACCCGCTGCACCACTTGGGAGGCCCTCAATGCTTTTTTTCTATTGCCTTTTTATACTGGCTAGAATCCCCAGTACAGTGTTGAATAAAAAAGAGGAAACGGAACATTCTTGCCTAATTCTCAACACTGGAGGAAAAGCATTCAGTCTTTCACCACTAAGAATGATGTTAGTTTTCAATATCCCCAAGATGTTCTTTAACAAATTGAAGAAGTCCTCTTCTAGTCCTAGTTTGCAGTAAGTTCTTATCATGAATGGTTGTTCATTTTTGTCAAATGTATTTTCTGCATCTATTGAAATGATGGCCTTGATGGAATTATGGTATGAAGTTTAGCCTGTTAATATACTGAATGAGAGGGAATTGTTTTTCAAATATTAAGCCAACTTTGCATTCCTGGGTCAAACTCCACTCACTCATGTTTCTTATCCCTCTATTGTGTTATTGGTTTCTATTTGCTAATATTTTGTTGTGTGGCATATTTATTAGTCTGGACTTTCTTTATTTTCCTATGTCCTTTTCTGGTTTTGGTATTATGGCAATGCTGATCTCATAGAAGGAGCGGGAAAAGATGTCCTCTATTTTCTTGGAACATTTGTGTAGAATTGGGATTAGTTTTTCCTTAAATGTTTAGAAATCATCAGTAATTGAAATTATCTAGGCCTCCCTACATTTGCAACATCTCATTTTCTAGACAGAAATTAAAACTTAACACAGCCAATCAGAACTAATACATGTCCTTCCCCACTATTCCTTATTTTAATGACATCAGACCCATTGTGCTTAAACCATAATTTTAAAACTTATCCTTGATTCCCCTCTTTCATTCTATTCCTCCAATCCATCTTCAAGTCTCATCAGCTCTACTTTCAAAACATATCCCTACTTCTCTCCATATTTACTATCCTAACCCAGTACAAGCCTCCTACCCAGCCACCCCAGTGCACAATTACCCTCACTACAACCTCTTCATTTTCAGTTGACAGACAGAGGGAGACTGAAATCAGCATATTCTCATATTTTAAACCATTTTCTTCTGCCATCTGATTTCTGTCTTATAAAAATACAGTCTATTTTTGTCTGCCAAGGGAAGCCCAATCACCAAATTGGGTCCTACAGAACTGGGTTTATGCTGGCTGGGTTGTCCAGTAATGTGTGAAGACAGGCACCACCCCCATAACTTGGTCTTTCCAATTCTCTCAACATTACTTGTTACAATGTGTATCAAGTTTGAACGTGCCCTAAAAGTTTTTTTTTTCCTAAAAATTACCAAGCCATGTGACAGGGAAGACAGATTACTTGGGAAGAAGCAAGGAGAACTCAAATCCTGATGTCTGCCTACCAGATGCTTGTAAGTCCCAAGTGTTCGTGGCCTATGTCTAAGGCAACATAGGGCCTTAGGTGTCTGTTACTACTTTAGTTTATGGGGCCTCATCCATGTGCCATAGAATGCAAAAGGCCTTGAGAATTCTATAATTCAAAAAGGAAAATTTAACTCACCTTCCATTGCTCCTCAGGAAGCAGCTTCACGACCACCACATCACCATTCAAGGCTCTATTACGAGCAACAACCCCATCAATAAAAATGTCACGGTCACCGTCCTAGGTTGGAGAGCAAAATAAAAGTTAGTTTACCAAAGCCTGGAATCAAAACTTACTTCCCTGTCTACTGACTCAACAGGAAGACTAGAATGCAGCCACACACATCTGGAGGGAGCTCTGTCTCTGGAATTAACAGAAATGGTGATGAACACAGAAAAGCAGACTAGCGGAATGCTGAAATAAATCATACGGGGCAGGTCATAAACAAAACTACAGAGAGCAAAACACTGAGATTGCCTGCTTTCCTAACTACACTGAGACAGGAGTAGATTATCATTAATTATCCACTTTCATTTTGAACAATACAAAGCGCAATGATACCATTTCTATACTAACTGGATTTTGCTTTAAGTATCAAAGAACAATTTTTTTTTTAAAGATGGTTTACAAGAAACCAGAAGAACAACATAAAGTCCCCCAAGAAAAATAACTGAGAGTAGAAGCAGCAACCAGCCCCAGGATTTGGGTTCTCTTGGAGAAACCCAGCAAAATCCCACTGCCCCTGGGAAAGAGGCAGAGAGAGCAAGTTGTGCTTGTTTTTAGGGAGACTGAAAGAAAGCAAAGGAGAAAAGGAAAGGGACGTAACCTGAGACTCAGGAAGTGTTCTCAGCCTCCACCTCTCTCACACGGGAGCCACGGGACGTGACTGTGAGCTCCTGGCCAAGAACACGAGGGGGCATGGGAACCTTCAGCCTCAATTGCTCGCTTCAAGACCCACTTTAAGCAGTGTAGCCCTGTGCGTGCTCAGGCATTGACAGCTCAACGTAAGGAGGTGAGGTTGTCTTCCTCCTGAGCCAAACTACTTTGCAAAAACACTTAAATGGAAAAGATAACGAAGGAAAAGCACACCCTCAGCCCTAAGTTTCCATGAAAAAATTAAACAATTTCAAAATGTTTCATCAACAAGCATGCAAACAGGTCCTCTTCCCCTTCGATCCCTTCCAAAAGTTTAGACCATGTGCTTCTTTTCAGGGCATGAGAGAAAAGGAAAATGTGGATTTTTCTGAAAGGCGGTAACAGCAAATAGGTTCATAAGACCACCTCGCAACAGTTCCTGATAGAGACACCCATGAGAGTAAGATTTAACATTCAACCAACTAGTTCAAGTTCAAATTAGTATTCTAAAGTCACCAGACCTTGCCTCCAATATGGGATTTTAGACACACAGTGGTTTTTTTCTTATAGTTCTCCATCACAAACCCTGAGGTATCTTTTAGAACAGTCTTTCTGCCCAGTTTCCAGTCCAGCCATGGTCTGGCAGTGGCCTGCACTTTACCAAACCTGACCCCCCCCACACACACACACACATGCACACACACCCTTCCCTCTGCCCCCAGGGCCCTCTGCCCCTAGCAGCCATGAAGAAAGAACTACTGCAGCAGACTTGGGAGAAGCTGCTCGGAGAAATAAGAAGCAGGTAAGCCGTGACTGGAGAGCAAACAGGGAAGCCTGGCGCGTGGCACTGACCGTGGCATCCACAACTTACACAGCAACAGGGTCTGTCCAGCCTCACTAGGGCAGAGGCGGTGGGAGGCCACCCAAACCCACAACAGGGTGGCCCCTTCCTGAGTCGTGACACCACCCTTAGACCGTCCGAGACTTTAGATGCTGGTTGTGTGGTTCCTACTCCAGAAACCAAGAAAAGTAGGGCTGAGTCAAACCATGGACAACACACAAATCTACAGCTACTTCATCGCTATTCAGTTCTGACTTGGTTCACTCAGACACCTGCTCCTGCTGCAGTCTCTTCTGCTAAAGACCACCCTTGGGAACAGCCCCAGATTAAAGCAGCTGAGTCATCACTCTTACCTACTGTTTAAGGCCCTGGTGTTCAGCCCTTGCCTGAGTGCAGGAGGACTTGCTCTACCCATCGGACAGACCAGAAGAAAAGGTACTGGGGGGAGTCTACTGTATGTTCTTAGGCAGCTGGAGGGGAATAAGCCAAGGATGTCATGATGGACCAGAAATAAATTTCCCAGCCACACAAAGTGGGCTCCCAGGACAAGATGCACCAGCATAAGTCAGAATGCAAGCGGTGATTTTTTTTGGGGGGAGGGGAAGATTTTTACACCTGGCAAAGCCTCTTTCGCTACCCCCAAATGCGATGAAAAGGCATCTCAATAATTTAATATCAACTGGTCTTGGTTTGCGTGAAAGCCACATGGGTTTTATTCTAACTCTGTATCTTACTCTTATTGCGAGACTGGCAGGGACATAAACAGCTGGCCGGTGTATTTTTGGCTTTGTCAAATAACAGAGAAAATTGACTATCAGTAGAAATGTAATGAAGTTCTACCCCTGCCAAAAGTACTTTTGTTACATCCAATGAGCAATTCACCCTTCTAAACCTGTTGCCTTAGGTAGATATAACAACATAGCAATGACACCGTAGAAGTTCACAACTGTTTATTCACAGTAAGTAAGAATAAGCCTAAATAACTTCACAAATCTGGTCTATTTTTGTTTCTCCAAAAATGTTAGATTTTAAGGCTGTGATGAACAGGCCAGGAATACAACTTCAAACAGGAGAATACCTTGAGCCTTTGAAACATCAGTAACATCAGAAACATCATTAACTTCCTTTATCAGGAAATGACTGGGCCCCACACTTGTGGCCATCTCTGCTCAGCCAACCCATCCCCACCAGGTCAAACGGACACGTGTCCTCAGCTGGAACAGCTCATGCTGCTCTCTAGGCAGGGCAGGATCTTCCCCAGGTCTGGCTTCCCGAAGGCACCACTGGCAGCAGCCCTGGACTCAGCAGGAGGCTAAAGGAAAAGCACTTCTAAGGGGTGTGGACAGACGCTGGGCCTGTGGGATAAACTGCCCATGCAGGTGCACGCAAGGGCCTGGCTGGATGAGGGGAAGGGGTCATCACAGCAAAGAGGGTACAGGAGCCCCCAGCTGGGAAGAGAAGAGGAGCCACAATTCCACATGCAGTGCCGAGGTGTCTGAGTATTCTGCATTTGAATCCAGGGACATGGAGGTATATTTATCCAGGAAGATATATTTTATCTGTCACGGATGTGTTTTATTTAAGTCTGTTAGCTGGATTTATAACTTTCAGGTATTTAGCACAGGGTAAGTATGCCTCTGTTTGAACTTTTATCCAAAACCCCATACTTGTCAATAGTCAGGCTAACTCAGGGACACTTGCAGGATGATTTTCAAAACACTGCATGGAGTTCCCTTAGCGCCAGCCGATGAACACAAACCCCAGCGCGCATTGGAGATGGGAGCCAGGTATGCTCAGTCCCAAGGGCCTCTCAGCATGAACTCCCCGCCCCACTGGGTGTGTTTCTAAAAAGCCATGTCTTCACATACCAGGCCCCTAAATTCGAGCTCCTTCTACTACTGATCTTGCCAATGAAGAAAACAGTCATTCTTTCTAGCATGGAGAAAATGCCAGTTACGCTGGACTTACTGAGGGGAGCATAACCTGAGAGATTTTCACAGGCAGTTTCTTTGCTCACTGAATGTGATTTTCCCTTTGTGAGCAAATTCTGGAATCTACTACCCAAGTAAACGGTGCTTCCCGAAGGACAGAGCTACTCCTGCAGCTAAGTTACTTTCTCAAACTTGACCTCAGTTCTAAGCTGGGGACCTGGCACCCAAGTGCCAGAGCCATCAACCATACTGTGTTCTGTAAAAGGAACAGAATATGACTCAGAGAGAATAATGTGAAAGACCAGTGATACTTTTTCCTCTAATCCAATGGGAAAATCTGAACTTGAGACACAAACTTATTTGCTGGAGGACAAGGGAGTAAAAGGACTGAGTTTGAGAACAGGTCTTAAGGTTACTGTAACAGTAACAGTAAAAATAATAGCTATGAAATACAAGACTGAACTTGGTGTTCTCACTAAATGTGTCATTTAACATATGAAACATGCTAACCATAGTAGATGTATTCCTTTTCCTCACCTATAAGCCAAACATTATTCCTATGGACACTTCTGCTCTGAAAAATCTCTGATGCTACAGCCATCCTATTTATGGTGTCCTGAAAAATTAGGTCAGGAATTTAAGAATATCGCTCTTGTAGCTTTGCACACTCAAGTAGCAGAGACCTGCTATTAACTGTCAGAGTGGACTTCCCTTTCTGGAAAGAACCCATTAAAATGCAGCATGAGCATAAAAAAGGGCACAAAAGGCAATGGCAAAAGAGCCTTTTACCAAGTCCCATCACCTGCATAAAAGTGAAGTGGGAAACTACACAAAAAAAGAAAGAGCATTACACATTATTTTTGGACAAATTTGCAGATTAGTTCATGCAGTAGATCGAAAGTAGATAGCATATTTGTTTAGGAAAGATTAACTTAAATCAGTGGAAAAACCCATAAATCCTTTTAAGCTATAAACCAAGGGCATCCAATTACATGAGCCGGTGGGTGCCTGTGTGGGTTCAGCTGCTCTCTGCAGCCGGGTACAAATGCTATCCCTTTCATTTCAAGTGTGATTTTCAGATTGGCAGAAGGTGGTGTTAACCAAAGGCAAATTTTGTTTATTTAAATTTGAAACAAATCCTTGCCCATCCTCAATTTTGTTTTAACTACTCTGCTTTTTAGATAGCATATATGATTTCAGTTTCCGAGCACATCTACAAAATCAAATGTGACATTAAGTTTATTATAAAAGTTATTGAACTTACCGGGGAAGGAATGAAGGCTTCGTGAAACTTCTTTGGATTAATTCTCAAGACACCCTTTAAAATAAAAAATAAAATCTGTGAAATTTTAACTAGTTATATACTTATGGCTTTTCCATATGTATATTATTCTCCAATAAAACATTTTTTAATTAATTGGACAGTTCAATCTAGGAAATAAGTTGGCAGGAGGACAACTGTTCTTTAAGAGCAAGCAACAGGACTTGGCCGATGTGGGCCACACAGGGCTCCTTTGGGGACCGAGGGGCACCTGGCCGCACGCAGGCAGCGGTGGGGGCCACAAGGCTGGCCAGCAGTGGGAAAGTGGCAGCTCTTGGGATTTTATGCGACTGATATGCTAGTCTTCAAATGTAAACCTTTAAGAGCAAGGTCATCTGGGGATTACCCCTCACCACATAATGGCCTTTTTCATTCTCTAGACTTTTCTCCACAACTGCTTGTGCTGTGACAAGTTTCCAAGGGCTCCAGTTGATTTCTAACCTGGATACTTAGCCACCAGACTGGATGCATATTTTTCTACTCTGGCCCCTCTGCAGCATTGAATGAGTTAATCTTTCAGAATGGTCCAGAACCAGCTCTTGATGTAAGTGGGAGTCCTGGCTCCAATAGTCAGGCCACCCAGTCTGTCTTCAACCTCATGTTATTCTAGCACCAAATCAGGTTCTGCTTCTATTTGCACACAGGGGCGCAGGTGGGGGCCGTGTTCACTAGCAGTTCAGTATTTCAGGCTCTGGAGAGAAGAGAGGACCCTCTCCAGGTCCCAAATGCATCTGAAGGAGGCTGGACCTCACGGACGGAGGCGGTCACTTTCCTAAAAGCTGGGCTCCAGGGGTAGCTTTAGAACGTGTTTTAAATAACATGTCTCCCCTAAAACGTTGAAAGGCTCAAAGATACATAATTAACAAAATAGGTGGGGGTCTGCAATAAAGCAGAAAATAATCCTGTCACTGCAGCGTGCTTAGGTGACACATTTCACCAACAGCTTTTACTGTCACTAACTTCCCAAGCAGATGGCCACAAATGCTTGTCAGTCCTTCACTCGGTGATGATTTACTGAGCACGGACAGCACTCAGGACCTGAGACGATGTGGGGGGATGCGGGGGGGCAGTCCCTGGTCACACCACCCTAAGGGAGGGCACGGAGCAGGCAGCAGGCAGTGGGGGCACTGGGACAGGCTCCAGAGACGGCGTCTGATGTGCTCCTTAACAGAGCAGCAGACTCTGCAGATGGATCAGAAGGGAAATACAGGCAGAGGACACTGCTGCCAGGGCAGCCAATGGGGCAAACACTGTTCCCTGCTCGATGCCGTGGCTCTGCTGAAGGCTGGAGACAGGGGAGCAGGAGACAAGGCTGGCGAAGCTCCCTAAGGTCAGTCCCTTTTTTACAAATGTCACTGCAAAGTCACTTCTAGGACAGCGGTTTCCTATTGGGAAAGTGGGAAAAAGGACTGCATTTGTCCAAAATAAACCTCCACTCACTCAACAAACGTCTTTGAAGTTTAATTTTTTGAAAATTTGAAAATTAGCGGTGAGTACGTGAAGAAGAAGAGAGATGAGAAGGCCTCCTGATTTCACAGTGTCTTCAGTCACAGAGAGGCCAAGGCTGGCCGCAGGGAAGGAGACAGGCGGCTCAAGCCTGGGGGTACAGAACAGACATTCGAAGAGCCATAAACAGCCTCGCGCAGACCTCCTGACACGTAAGACAGGCAGGAGGGGACGGAAGCCTTGCTCAAGAAAAACATGTGCAGCGTGACTGGGGAAGAACTGCTGAGAACTGGACCTCGGGACAGACGCCCCAAAGAGGGCGCATCACTCTGAGGAAGAGAACCTCTAAGCGTTCCACCGCAGACCAGTGTCACCCCTATAGTCCGAGGAAAAGCTGTCAATAAAACATGTCCAAAAATGGGCTTGTCGTGAAAAGAGACTTCCAGCAGATGTGCCGCCTCGCCTTCAGAAGTTCAGGACTTGCACGTTTTATGACCATCCCTGATCTGCCCCTGCCCCTGCACTCATCTTCCTGGAATTTGGTCAGTGCAGTGCCTTCACCCTGCCCCCTCCTCTGCATGTGCCTGGGCCCCCATGTCTTCACGGCAACCCGGCTGTCCCCCAACATGGTGACTCGCCCTGAAGTGCTCTCCAAGGGAGTCTCTTCATCCCTCCCACCCCAGGCGTCTCAGGGACCCCAAGAAGGATGTCCCTCCCTCCCTGCTTCCCCACTGTGGCTTTAAAATATTTTTTCCCTCCATTGTCTTCCGATTCCCCAGATCCTTTGAGGTTCACTTGTCGTTAGCACCTACTGTCCCTGCCTAGCGACGTCAAAGCCGGGCACGACAAACCCTGGTCGTGCCCGGCTTGCCAATGCCATACTCTGTGGCACCCCGTTTGCCCCTGCGCCCCCACTGCCAAAACACTGATGGGACCCGCATCCGGAAGGCTGACCGGGCCCCCAGGCAGGTCAGTCCTGCCACCTTTTCCTGCGCACACACCCCAGTCTCCTCAAAACAGGAAATATCAAGCATCACATGCCAATCACATCTGCCATTCTTTGGGTCACTTAAGGCAGAAGCAGCTTTCACAACCCTGCACCTCCTCTGAGACCTCCAACCCGTCCAACCACATTCTGGTCTCCACCGTCCCCCTGCCAGGCACGCCCTCTTGGGACACCTGGCTGGCGTGGCTGCCACTAGTTCCCGCCCTTGTGGCCCTGGGTCCACTCTTGCTCTTTGGTCAACTTTCAGTCGACCCCAGATGGCTGCCTTCTGCACTCCTGCCCCCAAGGAGCCGAATGTTCTTACAGAAAAAGCCCACACAACTGGGCTAACTGGCCTCGCTTGGCGATCACAAGCGTTTTGTTTGGCTTACGGGATGTTCGAGAATGCTTACAGCTGAAGAATTTCACACATAAATATGCATTTCTAGATTTTCTCGAAAAATCAGCTCTCCTGCATGGCAGCTACCCTCTGACAGAGTAACAGGCGCCTCTCTCCCGGGACAAAACACCCGCGCCTCATGGGGTGCTCACACGCAGAGTGAGAGCTTTACATCGTCAACTAATTTAACCCCCAGGAAAAGCCTACGAGGTAGGTGCTATTAACCTCCTTTTACAGATGAGAAACCGAGGCCCCTAGAGGGGAAGTGAATGAACTGCCCACTTCCGCACCACATTCAAGGCCCGGTGGGCTGGCTGCAGTGGCCACACTCTCCCTCCTGCAGCTGCTGTTTGCCGTCATCACCCCAAGGCCTCTTCACTCACTCATGCCAGGGCTACCCACCTTCAAACGCAGCACCTCCTTCCCAGCCTCAGTCTCCCCACCTCTGCCAGCCGTATCAGCACTATCTGTCTGCCCGACTCAAAAGATGAGGAGCCGTCCCATGTTCCTCCCCGGCCTCCCTTCACCCTTGCTCGACAGGCCAGCTCCCCTTCCGCCGACTTCTCCCCCTTTTCACCGCCCCCACCCTTTTCACGTCTCCATGTTTTCCTGCCCGGTTCACTGTGACAGCCTCCTATATGGTCTCCCAGCTCCGTCTCTATAGTCTGTGTCCCAAGAGACAGAGAGATGTTTTAGAGCATAAAATAGATCCTCTGCTCCCCCTGCTTAATGCCTCTCAGAGACTCTGCACAGCTCTTTTTTTTTTTTTTTTCTGCACAGCTCTTTAAATCCAACACCGCTGAGAGGCCGCACAGCTGGCTGCGGCCAAAACTCTGCCACTTCTTCCCACATCACAATTCTCGTTGCTCCCCGCATCCCACAGGCCTCCTTCTGAGTCCTTGAAAACCCCAAGCCTTTTCCGGCCTGCGAGGGCTCCTCCAGGTCCTCTCTCTGCCTACAATGTGCCCTTCCTCGCTCCTCCAATGGCTGCTCACTCTCCCCCTTCACTCAGCTCAGCAAGGCGTAACTGGCTGCGTCCACTGGCTCCCCGATTTATTATCCTCGCTCGTCTCCCTTACTTCCTCAGTGGCACTCATCACAGGCTGTGATTTCCTTGTTGTGTCTTTGTTTTGGCCTCTCTCCCCCGCTGAAGTGCCTGTCTTGCTCACTGGTGTATGCTTGGCTCTCAGTGGATGGTCAAGAAATATTTGCTGAATTATTTAATTAATGTCAGCAGAGCTGAAGGTCGCCCACCTGCCTGGATAATGTCGTAATATCATCTGTTCCTTCTCAACGGCCGGGCAGTCTCTGTAATGTCACCTCTGTCCTTCTCTTTAATCCACACCTAAATGTTCTCCAGCTGATTTCACTCTTAACAAATGGTGAAGGTCCTAGAAACTGGCCCATCCTGTCCAATCTTCCTGGACTAGAATTTCCTTCGAGGTCCAATAACAACCTTATATCAACATTTAATTCTAGGGGGATCGCTGACATCATGCCTCAGGCAGCTCTGGGGACTCAACCTGAACCTCCTTTAGCCAAAACCCCCTCTGGAAGCCGGAAACCAGCATGTCCATGCCCATGCCACCGCCCTTGGTCATCACCCAGACCTGCACCCCTTCCAGGCCCGCCTATCCCCAGACCTCTCTGCTCCTCTCACGGTTCCCCACATCTGCCTGTCACCACTCAGCGTTGTCGTATGCAAAGGCGAAGGGCACCCATTCTTTGACATGACATGAGAACTTGTCTCCAAGAGAAAATCTCAAACCTGCATGTACATGGGCAAGTGTGACTACTGCTCAGTTCAAACAAAGGAAAGAGATTTCTTTGGTCACTATGGACTCCTCTTCCCACAGAAGGCAATGAAGTATCAAATCATCGGTAGATACGGAAAGCCAAAGTAGCATGTTATTCTATTCTGATTTAAAAACACCTCCTCGATATGTCGCTCAATAAAAGTTCCCTCTCTGGATGGGAAGAGGGAAAGCTGCCAAAATACACTTAAGTTTGAATGGAAAAGTTCACACATGCATGAAAGTATATCCACTAAGTTTCATTTTCTGCGACAGCCCTCAAATATCTTTTGTAGTTCAGCTTCATACTTAGCCTCAGCCATCAAAGTTGCACAGAAAGTTTTTATCAGAAAGCAGATGGACCCTGCTTCTCTGCCTATGAAAATCTTATTTACAGTGTTGTATATTTCACATGGTGACCTCATATCTGGAAGCCTTTCCTCTCCCCATCTGCACAGAACAACTGTTCTCATCGTGGGGGGAGCTCTGGCTGCGGAGTCTCCTGATGTCACAGGCCAGAAAGAATCACTTACAAACTCCTGGGAATGAGAGTTGTTCTATTGATCAGAATTTTTTTTGTTATGTTTTAATATCAGCGAAGAGTTGCTTCAAAAGCAAAAATTAATAGAAAGGAGCAAAAACTACTACTACTGCAAAATATTCCCCCACCCGGTTTCCGTAAATACTCCGACCAAAATGATCAGCAATGCTGCTTTCACGTTACATCGACAGAGGCTTCCCTCAGTCTTCTTCACAAGACAAAAACTTGATCCCTTAGTCATCAGTAAATATTTATTCAACATAAACTTATTAAGCATTAATCAAATGCCAGGCTAATTTGTGGGGATTAGACATGACCCTGCCCTCAAGGAAGTGAACAGTCAATTTGCGAAAACATAAATGCCAGAAAATGTTAGTAATGGGCTTAGAGTAAAAGGCTAAACAGAGCAGTCCCTGCAGGAGAGCCTAAGAGCCAGCTCCACTTAGAGAATGGAAGGAAAGCTTCCGAAAGGGGATGACATTTAGGCAGGGACTGAAAGGTCACCCCTGGTTACATCAAGGCAGCGTGGGAACAGTGTGTACTAAGTCAGGAGGAAGCAAAGGGCAGAGTTTTCGCAGGAAAAGCCTGGAAGGCCAGGATGAAAGGAGCAGAGTGTACCTGGAGGAGAAAGCAGGCGAGCAGGGGGAGGGTACAAACGGCCTGGAGCGTGAGAGCAGACAAGGGCTGGGCGCAGAAGGCCAGGCTCACACACGGGCTGAAGGGTAATGGCAACAGTGGCTGCACAGCTGTCCAAGGCCCGTGGCACAGCTCTAGTTCCCTGAGAGGCCTCGTCACAGAGACCCAAGGGAGCTTTACAAAGGCTGCCAACAGCCCCTCTGAAATCAGAAAGATCGGCTCATTGGTTAGACACACTTTTCCAGTCAGAGTCTACAATCATCGCATGCGCACTTGACCGCAAAGGAGATGGTTGTATCTGCTGATTGGCTGGCTCTTGAGTCAAAAACACAAATATTGAAGCTGGGCGCTCAGGACAGAAAATGAATGCAGACAGTATTTTCAAGTGAACCAGGGAACACAAGGCGATATTTCTACACTAACCTGAGAACTATGAAATGGATTCAGTCAGAGGACAAGGCCCGCCTCCCTGCATCGCACCTCCTGCCTCTGGGAACACACCCAGGGAGCTCTGTGTGGCCACACCACACCACCTGCAGGTCATGACTTTATTAGTGCCATCCCCTTTCTGCCCCCTCCACATGTACACCGCTCATTAATAGGCCCAAAATGGTCATCCTCCGATTTCCACCTCAGACGTCACTTCCTACAACTTCCAAGTTTCCCCCAATACCTCCTATGCCCCATCACACTTTTATCGGAGCACTTACCATTTCTCCCCAAATCACCTGTTCACATGACTGCCTGCCCCGCACTGGACAGTCTCACATATCCTCATCTCAAGAGCACCCCGTGGCATGTTCCTAACGACAAACTGTCCCCGACTTACCGTGATGCTCAATAAATGTCTGCTGCGCCAAACCACTGAACTACCGTGCAAAAGTATGTTGTATGCTAGAAAGCCCTCAGCACACACTGCTGCTGTCTGTGCTTCCTCGTTCTTGGCCACCCAGCAACCCGCACTCCAGGCCAAAGAACTACAACGCGTCCCGCTTCTGACTAGTAGCTCACTCTGGTCCCTCTATTTGGAAAGCTCTTTATCTCAGCTCGACTTATGCAAACTGCACCAATCTACAGCCAGGCTCAAATACATCCCTTTCAGTGAAATGCTCCCAGGCAACTCTCAGTGGGGTGAAGGGAGCTCCCTCTTCTCAAATCTCAGAGCATTTCATCTGATCCTGTCTTGTGATCCTGTTTTGGCACGTGCCACCTCCAACTGCACGGTAGGGCCTAAGAAGTGGCAAGCCCTGTGCCTGGGCCCATGGTACCATTTCTCTCAGAGTACACAGCCCGGGCCAGGGAAAGGCTTCATGAGCAACAGATTACATCTGATGGCACCTGTTCAAGTACAGCCTGCCAGTAGGTTATAAGCACCTGGATAAGTGTTCCTCTCTTCAAGCCTTCTGAAACATCCTCCTTGGACATGTAGGTCTCAAATATGCTCTTTTTCTTCCCTCGTGTGGACTTGTTCTTTGACTTTTTGTCACCTGGCGAAGCACCAACACCATGTGGGCCAACCCCCGAAGATACACCTAGAAACATGAGGCAGCAATCAACTCTTTCTTCAGTCACCTTTTTTTTTTTATTTAAAAAGACCAACATGAGACTGAAATGTTCTGATGGTGATTTCAAACAGTCACACAAAAGGAATACATGGCTAAGGAGACATGGATAAAATGCACAGGTGAGACCTGAGCTTTAAATCAGCACCGCAACATCATGGCACATAATCTGAGTAATGGGTTGGGTGTGCTTTGCTGTTTATGGACACCAACTTTTTGAAACAATAAATTACTAAAACATTGTCAATTTTCTGGAGGAAATTAAACAGTATCAATGTATCAATAAATTAAGACGAGAAACCACACTTAACTGCAGAGTAAATAACAAGGAGAATATTTAACAGGTCACCAAAGGAATTACAGTTCCCTTCCCCCAAGACCCGCCCACGCCTCCAATCCACTTGTTTCAGGTCACCCGTCGCAAGAGTAGACTCGTTTTCCTTTTGCTACCTCTGGGGGTCCCCAGGGGCCAGAGGTTCGGCTTGTAGTCCGGATGGCTCATTACTGCTTCCAAGGCTGCCTCTTCCCTCTGGATCCGGGGCCTCCAGCGCTCAGTGCAGAGTTCTTCCTGTCTTGAGCAGCTTAGACGTCACTGGCTGAAACCAAAGAGAGATGATGACTGGAGAGGAGCACGCAGAGCCCCCCGGCACTCTGGCAAATGCAGCACCTGCTTGGCACAGCAAGGGCACCCCCACTCTGCATCCTGGCATCGCTTTCTCCTAGATGGTCAGTCAAGCACACCACCTGCAGAGTTTCTTTTCAAGGTCCTCACCCTTACTGGTATCACCAGCCTGCCACTTGGGTCACTTCAACCAAAACCCCCACAAGTGGGCAAAGACTTGAAAATGAAGATAAGCAGGAATGTGGGCCTGAACAACATACGAAGAGCTGCAGTCTGAAGGCTATCACGATGTGGGGCTAAACTGGGGTTCACGGGACGCGACATTTATGACATCTGGATGAGTGACAGTCCTCTAAGGAACCATGTGAGTCAATCTCTCAGAAACCTCAGCAGCACTGATGCACTGTCATGACCTGAGGTCCAAAGCATGCATGGGTGCAGGTGGCTCACTTGCTTTCAAGCAGCAGCTCCTATTCTCACCTGCCACCGCTTCCAGCTCGTCATCAGACCAGAAGGCCAGCCAGCTGGTTCTAAGGAACACCAGGCAGCTGCCTGGATCAGCAGACAGGAATGCGGGGCCCTGCAGCCTTCCACCTGGAGGCGGGACATGTCATCACAACTACTCTACTCTCTGCTGGCCATAGGCCCAGGAGTCAAGCCTAGACTTGCAAGTTTCCAAAATCCTGCTTTCCCATAAAATGGATCAAGATGTCATTCCGAACTGTAGCTTCCATTTCCTCTCAATTTCCCACACACGTCCGTCCCCCAAAATGATGTCATTTTTCTTTAAATTGAAATTAATACCAACTCAGGAGAGGAGAAGTAAGAGAGCTCAAAGGGAACAGGCCACTTAGTGATACACAAAGAGATTCAGAGGGAAAGTCAAAAATTGCAAGGAGGGAGAGAAACAGCAGGTCTCGGACAAACAGCAAGGCAGTGGGCGAGGCCCGTGGAGCAGCCCGGCTGACGGCTTCATTCACAAGCGTGTTCACCCACTAACTAACTCAACAGATATTTCTGCGCAGTACTGAGCTAAGCACAGTGAGAGACACAAAGTTAATGTGATTTATAGAAATCACTGAAATAACAATGAATACAAGTTTGGAAGTGATGAGCAGTATGTGTATTTTTAAAATATGGGTAAATGTACAAAGTGGGAAAGAGAGAGACAAAGAGAATCTCCAGGTCAGGAAAACAGAGAGAGCTTCAGGAAAGATTTTCAGGAGGAATGGAGAATGTGAGAAAAGTATACTGCTGGCAAAGGAAGCAGAAGCAGAGACAAACAGAAAAATACAGGCCGGTTCTTGCAACATTAATTCCATTTGGACAGAGTCCAGCCTATATGAAGGGAGGCAATGGCAAGGAAATTAAAACAAGTTGTAAGATCTAGAAAACCAGTCCAGTTGTGAAAAGGCAGCAGGGAATTTCTGAAGCATGAAGGAGCAGAAGAGAAGAACAGAGCAGAGTTGTGTCTTGGGAAAAACTAACCTGGCACAAGATTCGGAGTCATCTGGAATTAAGAAAGACTAACGGCAGCTGCACCTTCAGAAAGAACCAGAAGAGACCGGGTGAAAGGAAAGGAGGGCCTGAACGAGGTGTCTATGTATAGACACCGACATGAAGACATGATAGACACCGACATGAAAACATGCTTAGCATCATGCTGCATGTCATTGCATGACACTACATAAGACAAACTGTCACGTCTCGGCAAGCAGGGAGGTCAGAGGAGAGCAAGGAGGAAGCAGTTGCGTGAGATATCAAGGGTAGAAACTGGAGGTGATAACATCACTAAGTTAGAGAAGACGAATTCTACATGGAAATACGTACTTCTGCACCAAATGCTTGGAAAATGGAGAACAGAGAGAGATGAATTTGCCATCCATTTGCATAAAGGTGGCAATTCCAAGTTTTTAGAATGGATGAGACTGCCAAGGAAGGGCGGGCTGATCCAGACGGGGGCCTAGGACAGAGAGCTGGGTTAGGGCAACATATAGGAAATGCAAGAAGGAAGAAGTAGAAAACACAAGAAGCTAACAAAGACTTAGGGGGAAACAACAAAACAGAATGTTAAGAAACAAAGGTGAAAGTAAGTTCCAGAGAAAGACAGGTTCACGGTCAGGGTCTGCGGCCATTACTGGGAGGGACACAAATGACGGGCAGCTCGGGGCAGTGGAGGGCCGGCCAGCTGCAAGCAGGACAAAGAAATCCAAAAACAAGCATCAGAATTAAAAATGGGGTCCTTTGGATCAAGTTCTGCCACACAAAGGTGTAGAAAACCAAGGGGAGTTTACTGCCAGTTAAGAGAGGGACCGAGGCCTCCACTCCAACGTGGCTGCACCGGTGACCTTCTTCCCTTCAGCAAGTGCCCCAGCTGGTGGGACTTATGCCTGATTTGTTTCTCAAGCTTTGAAGACAAGGTATCTTTGGCGGGTTCACCACTGTCAGTGGGTGGCTCCCACTCTCCCCAGGACAGAGAAGGTGCTCAATATTCGTTCCCCACATAAAGAGAGGAATTTGTTTGCAGGAACAGGCAGTGGGAGCACCTAGCAGAGCAGGGTCATGCAAGGAAACCATGCTGAAAACAAGACAGCAAAGAGTGGGAAAAGAACACAGGACCCAGGAAACACAATTGGCAAGAACAAGCCAGGCGGCTGGGCAGCTGAGTCAAAACTTGCCTTTGGGTATCAAAGCTCTGGAAGGAGATGGAAAAAAATCTGAGTACATAAGCTGAAGACGAGCAAGAAAGCCACCTCCCCTTCCCAGCCACGCAGTGATGAAGGCCCGTTAACCCTGAAGAAATCTGTCCCCCTCTCCGCCCCCAGCCCTTCCACGTGGAAAGCAAGCCACTCTCTAAGCTCACCAGTTTGCAGGACAAGGCCTCCAACACGTGGCCCAGCTGCCTCTGGTTCCTCAGAGGGTGCTTTGCTGTGGAAATGGCTATCTGTGCTGAGAGCTGCCAGATCGCTGATAAAATTAATTTTAAAAAAAAAAATGAAACTAAAGAACATTTATTTGGTTCTCACTAAGACTTTATCTTGAGGACCTGACTGACCCATGTCACTGCTCCCTCACCCCTCTTACGAAGGGCTGGCACAGTGGATATTATAAAGCAGATACGAACCAACATTAACTGACAAAGAACAACTCCCATCTTAATCATCAGGAAAATGCACACGCTGGAGAGCTGGGCAGGGCTCGGGTGACTAGGCAATGTCACCGTGGCAGTTTTTAAAAAAGCAGAACTGGGCCTCCCTGGTGGCACAGGCGGTTGAGCGCAACACTGTGAAGCTGTCTGCAGCCTCTGCAGCACAGTTTCGATTCCCCGCTGGCCATGGAGCTACCCACATGGCAGGGCAGACCTCTCCTGTCTCGCCCGCTCCTCCCCTCAGCAGTGTATTTCAGTCAGTCTGCCTGTTCTGCTCCCCACTCTGTCTCTGGTGAATCCTCTCACCCTCCCGCACATCTGGCCTGTACCCCGGTTCTTATATAAATAAATAAATCTTTAAAAAAAAAAAAAAAGGCAGAACTGAGGAGGAAGGGGGAAAGCACTGGACTTGTGAAAGAGTGAATGAGAAGGAAGCATCTGGGTGAAAGAAGTGCTGTCTTGAGACCCTTTCCATTCCCCAAATCTAGCACAAGGCACATGGCAGGGCAGCTGCTCCAGCGAAGCCTCTGAGGACAGACGCCAGACCTCAAGGAATATACTAATAAGAAACATGAGTGGCAGAGCCACGATTGAAGTGCGATGAGCCAGGCCCCCAGGAGGCCTCGGCCAGGCCCTGCACACACAGGACTCAGAGGGCGAGCGCTCCCTGTGTGCCCGGGCCTGGGCACCTCGCCTGCCTGACCCTCGTCTAAGCTCTGACGAATAGCAGGTGCATTTATGAACCCAGAGAGGTGACAAAACTGAAACAGATAACGCCAAAAGACACATTTAAATAAAAAAAGGTTGCGGCTATTCGGAAGCTAAAATGGGGCCACTGCAAAGCAAGACATGGTAAAGACAAGTGGAGGATGACATGACTAAAGACAAAGAAAGGGATTAAAATAAATCTCACTGAAAGCCAAGAAATAATTTACACTAACCAGTGGGAAACGAGTCAACAAGGAGCGTCGGGACACACAAGTTAACAGCATGTTTAAGACTAATCAATAGATCCCTACTTCCTAACATATGCTGAAATAAAATTCAGCTTGAATAAAATTTTAATTTTAATTTAAACGGTATATAGAAACAGATGGGGGTAGGGGGAGGGGATGCCCAGCATGAGTGAATGAGGAGCTTGACAAACATTATCCCCAGCAATCAATACGGACAAAATTGTTAAAACCAACCAATTACGGATCTCGATATTGATCGGAGACACACAAAAAAACAAAGACTGTTTGTTCAAGAAAATCTATTGAATCTGGTAAGAACAGTGGACATGTGTGGTGGTTTAGCCTCAAGGTCCCCACATCCCACACCCACTCCCAGTTCCTGGTGTGATGGTCTTACTAGGGCAGCAGGCTGTGAGTTTGGCAGCTCCACTGCCAGAGGAAGCTAAACTTATTTGGACAAGAGCAAGGAATTCCAGGCCTGGGGCATTTTCACAATGATTCCAGGGGCAAAACATCAAGAAGGTCCACATGACACTAACCTGAGCTTGCAATATTAGGGCAGGCAATAGATCAGCAGACCAACCAGAACTCTAGAGTCAGAATCAGAATGAAACCACCAAAGTTGGCTTGATAAGAATCTAATTCTCCCTGCTGTGTAACTGCCCAAGACTCTAACCACGCAGGAGGGAAATGAGAGGCCCAAGACAGGTACCCATCCCTGGATCAATGTTGAGGTAGGTGCAAATACAAAAAGCAAAAGCCAGGGCAGACTTGTAAACTGCCTGAACTTTGAATATGTTCCCAAGTCTCACAAGAACCACTGACAAAGAGTGGGGGCCTCAATGTCAAGTTTAAACACAATCGCTGCCC